TGGGCTGACTGACTTCGCACCTCCCACACCCCACTGGGGTTCCCACAGTTTCACCTTTGCCCAGGCTGCCTTCTTACCTCCCTCCCCCCCGGACCTAGACCACCCTTTCTTCTCTCCTCTTGGTTCCCACCCACCATCTCTTCCCCAACCCCTGGGTCACTTTCTCTAGGGAGCCAGGTGTCAGCCAGGATATTGTGACCTCTCCTTTCCTAGAGGGACAACCTTTGACAGAGTGTCATCTTAGACATGAATCCAGATCACCGAGGTACTCAGCTGCCTGTTTTGTGATTGTGCCAAGCACTTTACACGGGTTACTTAATTTAGTCCACACAGCTACGTTAGCCATACGTACTACCACTATCTTCTTGTTTTGTAGATGAGGAAACTGAGGCTCATGAGAGAAGCTGCTTTATGCTCTGTGGCTAAAGCCAGAAAAATGGAAAGGAAAAGTCCATCATCGCTGGGCTGTCTGTGCCTGGTCCAGGTTCAGCCCACATCCCCTGCCTTATTGTCTTACTGTTCCCATCAACTCCAGGTTCTCTCTACACCAACTCCCTGCCAAGCACTGATGGCTTTAATAAAGTCTCTGCGGGTGGTGACCTTGGACCCAGCCTTGCTTTCTCTGTAAAGGGGCAGGTCTCCAGGAACACACATTTCAGGGCTATTTTGAGGGAACAAAGGAATCTCCTGGCTACTGATTTCTTTCCAAGGCTTCTTGCTGTTTAGCTCGGGAATCAACTGCCATTTCTGAAGACACTTCTGCTACTGATTGTTCGCTGGGCCTGCACTAGGTATGTGAGCAGGTGTGGGGCCCCCTGCGGACTGACACCCTTCCCCCATCCCCCGCCATCCACCCTTGCTGCTGAAGTGTGTCTTGCAAAGATTCTGAAATATGGGGTCAATCCCACTGGAGGAAACAGAGCCAAGCCTGGCTTCTTCTGGGGACAGCTTTTGGCTCTTTTAAAACTTAAACATTTCAGAATTGCTTTGTCATTTTCAAAGGTTGTTAGCGTGCAAAGAAACTAAATGGCGAAGCGTATGATTATGAGTTTAGATCGATTTTTAGCACCTTTTTTTTTTTTGCCCCCTCTCAGTTTCACAATGTGTGGGCAGTTTCAAGATATGAGGCTCCATTTTGCACAGAGTACGGGGCTAGGGTCTGATTCTTCAACATCCGGGAGAGCCCCTAGTCCAGTTTCCTCATGGGCCAGAAGCAGTCAGATTTATTAAGACATGTGTCCTGGGTTGCACTAGGTCTCCTCCAAAATTCATAGGTTGGAGTCCTAACTCTTAATACTTCAGAATGTGACTGCATATGGAGACTGAGTTTTTACAGAGGTGCTTACTGTTCAATTCAGGGCGGGCCCTGATGCCACATGCCTGGTGCCCCTATAAGAAGGGAAACTGGTACACAGATACACACAAAGGTCGCATGAACACACAGGGAGAAGACGGCCATCCGCGAGCCAATGAGAGAGGCCTCAGAAGAAATCAGTCCTCTCAACACCTTGAAGGCTTCCAAAAACAAAGCTCTACCAGATTTCGCAGTGAGACTTCTGGTCGCCAGAATCATGAGATGATACTCTTGTTTTAGCCCCCAGAAACACGGCGGCTCCAGAAACAGAACACAGATTTCACACATTTCAAACTACGATGTCCAGTTTAATGTATGGCTTTCTGTGACCTTGACTCTTCAGCGGAGCCAGAAGTGTCTTTGGGAAGATTTTTCTGAAAAGCGTGACAAGCGGAGGTTCACAGAGGAACACACTTCAGACACTTCGCCTCATGTTCTGCCATTCCCTTTGAAAGATACCTCCAAGAAAACAGTCGTGAGTCAGCCTCGCTGAGATTTTTTTTTTTTACCTGTGGTTCTAGGAACTCGGAGGCATATTAGCATTCAGGCTTTGCATAGACCACTAAGCCACTTCTAAGAACAAGGCTACCTGAGGCATTGTGCAAAAGTGTGCATGTGCCACCGCTTTGCTTTTTCACAGCTACCACCGCCCGTTGGGCCGACACCTTGGACCTCGTGAGGGGACGCCAGTGTGGGTTCTGCAAGAATGCCACGTCTCGAACCACGTGGGTTCATTCCAGGGAACGCCAGCCACGTCTTACCTTCTCACCTAAGCAAATGAAGTGAGAGCTTGGTGCGGTGTGGTGGGAACAGAGTGGCATTCTCTGTGGTAGCCCACATTCACCTTGCATGACGCTCTTTCAGACCCTGGCTTGCCTCTCCAGGCGAGGGAACAATGGTTTGCTTGGCCCATACCTCTCTTTCCTCTCAGTTTCCACATGGGTATCTCTGCCAAAAATGAGTTACGGGTTTCCTTCTGTGAGGATTGCGTGGACTGATAAAGCATCATCCTGGGAAGGAAACAAACGTTGCTTCCCCCTCTAGCTCATGGCTGCAGTTGGAGAGGGAACACTCACTGTAAATTGTGCGGAGCAAGAAATGACCACGGGGCTGAGCACTGCTGACAGCCGGTCTTTGGGAACGTGGCTAAGGACACTGAGAGAGAACCATTTGCCACAGATGACCAGACACAATTCTCCTAACATCACGCTCTCAGGCGGCACTCAAAAGGCACCGAAAAGCAATGACCTTTTTTTGCCATCCCTCCAGCTCCAATGAGCGTGGACGGCTGATCCTGACGATGCAAACCCTCCATTGGTGGGTCACCTTGCTAAAATTAACTGGGAGAGTGCCAAGATTTCACGTTGGTTCCCTGAAATGAAATCTCAATGCCATCTTATTTAAGTTAGAGATGATCCAAGCCCCCAAGTTCCTTTTCCTGACACAGAGGGGTGAACAAGGCCTTTGTCCAGTAGCCCTTCTGAGACTTGATTTGGGTCTCAGGGCTCTCTCTGTCAACTGCTCACTTTGAAAGCAAGCTGCACCTTGGGGCACCTGGGTGGCTCAGTCGGTTAAGTGTCCAACTTCAGCTCAGGTCATGATCTCACGGTTTGTGCGTTCGAGCCCCGCATCGGGCTCTGTGCTGACAGCCAGCTCAGAGCCTGGAGCCTGTTTCTGATTCTGTATCTCCCTCTCTCTCTGACCCTCCCCTGCTCACGCTGTCTCTCTCTCTCTCTCAAAAATAAATAAAAAAACATGAAAACAAAATGAAAGCAAACTGCACCTTGTTCCTAACCTGGGGAGGCTCAGTGACCTCCATCAGCACAAGAGCGATGGGGCCGTGTTAGGGCCTGAGCTCCTTCTATTTCCTGCTGTTCGAGCCAGTCTCTGGGTCTCTTCCCCATCTCTGCCATCTGGTCAGTAAGGACGGCTTTGAAGGCAGCCCCACACCATGCACAAAATCTAATCTATTGCCCAGTGGAATGTTTTCAAATTTCCTGACTCTGTCTTCCTGAGTTTGATAACATAGGAAACAATTATCACGGGGAGGGTATTGAGAGCAGAGTGAAGGCAGGAAGACCTTTCTTTCTGTTATTCTACAAATATTGCTTCCTTTGCTCGTTAGCAGCTCAGAGGAAATGCAGCCAGGGAGCAGCTCGCAGCTTCTCACCAGCGGCCGGCATCTCTGCCACAGGAGCCCGGCGCTGCTCTGTGACAAGGGCGTGTGACTCACCCACATCGCATGATTCAACTTCACTAAAATTTCCTCTGCTGCCAGTAAAGAAGCATTTGCAAACCCTCTAATTTGAAGCTTTGAATCGGTTAATGACTTGCTTTCTTCCCCTTCGCCTGAAATCTTCCTCACCACCCTCAATGCGAGCGCGCTCGCACACGCACACACACACACACACACACACACACACACACAGAGCTTTGTCAAGTTTTTACATTTCAGGGACCCGGAAACACAGAGGCTCTGTGACATTCACAATAGCATTTGTTGTGACAAACTGGCTGGCAGCCCTCCGCATTCCTCTGCTCATTTGGCTGCATGAATAAATAATGAGTCACAGATACTATTTGGGTGCCCTCGGAGAATTTGTAGCCAGAAAATTAATTATGCCCCCGATCCCATCCCACTCCGTCCCCCTGCTGCCAAACCATGAAGCCACATTCTGCAGGCGTTGGTCAAAGTGCGTGCCCTGACACACTGCAGTGCCTTCGCGACATTTTGTGTATTATTATTTTTGTTTGTTTAAGCACAGCCCTCTTTTCCCACCAGAGCTGCACAAAACGCACAGACACACACATACTCACACACCCAGAGCCGTGGCCCCAGCACAGCTTTGCACATTTCGAGAGGCGGGTTGCAAAACTGCAGACAGGTTTTCCACACTGGCCGTTCCAATTAGGAAGCGCACCAGCTAATGACCCGAGCCGCGACGACGCTCGACTTAGGAAATTTCTTCATTGCTCTTTGTGCGCGAGAGATCTCTGTACATGACAACTTGCATTTCCCCCCCTCCCTTGAAAGACGCCTGCCGCCTCTTTGCACTGAGGCTACATGGAGCGTGGCCCAATCCTGGGGGTTCTAACCCAGACGAATCTGCCTGGCTCTTGCACTCTCTGCCTTCAGGGGACAGCAGAGCTGCCACTTTGTCCCCAGAGTCCCCAGGCTGCTCTAACATGTGCCTGCGAGCCTGCCTCCGCCCCATGCTGGCACCAGCCCTTCTGGCTGGTGGTGCAGGCGCCCGCTAACCCCCCGGGGCGGGCTGAGTTCAGGACTCAGCCACAGTCACTGCGGGCAAGGGACAGAAAAGAAAACCCAGACAGCTTCTTGCAAGCTTTATAATCTCTAGGACTTTAATCAGGAACAGCCCAACTTACTTGCACTTGACAAAGTTCTCACACACCGACCGAACACTTCAACAGCTTAGCTAAGTATTTATTAAAACGTTTCTGAAGGGCTGTCATCTGATGAATAAGTAATCCAATAGCCTTGTAATCATACGCCTGAGTTTGAATTCCTTCCACAAAACAGACAGGGAATCGACGGGAGCGACGTGCACCGAGTTACAACCGGCTGCCATTTCGTTATCTGCAAAGCCGAGCCAAAGTAGGTATCAAAAGCCCAGAGCGTACTCACCTCTCATGAAGCACTGTGGGTATGAAGGAAATGACTCAAATATGCTGTCTGAAGCCATCGCTTCCTCCTGAAAATGCACCCTCTTCCGAAGGCGGGGGATTCAATGATTTCTTTCACCTTTGGAGTGAAAACCAAAGAAAGGTCACTGTCTTAACCTCACCTCCCCAACCATGGCTCCCTGCCTTTCTCTCTCTTTTTTTTTTTTTTTTTTCTCCCCGTACCTCTGGGGGCTCCCTGAGCCCTGCGAAAGATGTACCTTGGCGAAAACAAAATATTCAAATTGTTCAAGATTTGAAAAAAAAAGCGAAAAAAAGCGGCGTCTTGGCTGTGGCTTGGTGATGCTCACCACTCTGTGAAACCCTGTGGTTTGCAGTCAATGTGATTCGTCCTGCCTGCTGACCACTATGCCGGGCGCAGACTTCTGACACTACCAGCCTACCCAACTTGTGGTTCTGTGGTTGTTTATGAGGCCCAAAGAAGTTTTCACACAACCCAAATTACAAATTTAACTGTTCCCCTTTCCCCAGCCCCATCTTAATTGGCTCTTGCCAATCATGTGACTTAAGTGATGTCAAATTTCTTTTTTTTTTTTCTTTTTTTTTTTTTTAACTTTCTGAGCAGGGCCCTTCCTTCCCCCCACCTGCCCTCCCCGAGGCGGTTCAAGAAAAGAGGCAAGGAGCGTTTGCAAGAGAGGGATCGTAGAGAAAAGTGACTCAGTCTCTTATTATATCAATGATCTTTGCCGGTTTAGGACAACTTGGGTCTTTTGTTGTTATTTGTGGTTTTGGGAACTACTGATTGTTTTGATACCAATTTCATTGCTGCTTATTCAATAGTAATTCAACCCTGGCATCAGGCTGCTGCTCAGGCAGGATGTGGATCCCATCACTTAAGACGCTGGGCATCAGCTCAGGAGAATCCAGCACTTGGTAAAGACTAGGACAGCGTAAGTGAAAGTACAAAAGGAAAAACAAAATAAAAGGAAATGTTTCGCAGAGAGCCTGACCCCTGAAAGGGTCTAGCAACTTGCTGGTATTGTAAAGCCCAAAAAAAGTTGGGGGGGGGAAGCATTTTAATTTTGTGCCCAAAAGATCGTTGTAACAAAAGCAAAATTATGTGGTTTTACTCCTCTTAAATGAACATCTTTTCAGTACAGAGATGAAATCAGAGTTCTCTCTTACACACACACACACTCAAATTAGGAATCTACCGGAAAACAAAGAAAAGAGAGGGCCTGCATTTTGAGCCCCAGCAGTGGCTAATCTGCAACCGTTTATTTTTTGTTTTCACCTGTGAATGTTGCCTTTCTCTAGTTCAATTGGCACCGATAGGTTAATTCAGACCTGTAGGTAAAACGCAGGTGTTAACACTACCATAACTACACTCTGAGTGCGTTAAGAAGACTTCACAGCAGATAGAGGAACCAGCGCAGGTCTCCTTTACGGCAAGCCCCTTCTCATGGGACTCACTGAAGGTCATGCGGCTCATCCTCTACCCCAGGAAGAAGTCACGCCTGCTCGGAGGTGCTGCAAACAGGATAACTTTGCACGTGGGCAAGCCATTCTGGGCACACATAACTACTTCTCTTTCCTGCTTGTTGCCTTTAAGCGCTAACAAAATACTGTGCTTCTTGAAGTTCCAACATAAAGAGAGACTCTGTTTCCCTGATTTATTCTTATTAACTTTGCTCTGCTCCGCATACATCCTTCGTGGCACCCTGGGCACGCCACGTTTCAACGCACACGGTCAAGGGCAATCAGGACGATGGATCCAAGATGCCGACGCTGGATTCCAAACTGCATGGCCACAAGCAGCCAAGGGGCTTCAGGAAGCCTGTAGGATCAGAATAACCCCTTGGTGTTTTTCTCATCCACTCAGTTTTGCCCATACCCACTCTGATAATGTGCTCACGGGCAAATGGCGCAGGTCTTTTAAGAGGAAAAGACATGATTTTTACTTACTCCTGTTTTGACTAACGCAGGAATTGAAACTCAAGAGACTGCTTTCTCCCACACTTGTGTGAAGCTAGCTTACCGAGTGTTGACACCTTATTAATATTTAAAAGAATAATAAGGTAGGTATTTCTTTTATGTTTATTAATGTCCATGCATGTTGCATGTTTCCTGTTGCTTCTCAATGCAAATCCCTTGTGAAGATAGTTAAGACCATGTCCCTATGCTCACTGATAAACTTACATGTGGGTCTGAGCCCACATCAAGCTCTTTTCTCTCCTCTGTATGTAATGTTCCCTGGAAGGATCGTAATAGCTGAAAGCGTAACATGCAGCTGTCACAGCAGAGCTGGCTCAGACTTATTAATGACTTAGCAATTCAAGTGGCGACGCAGATAAATTCTGATACTTCGTTTTAGAAACTCCCCAGATGGTTTCAGCCTTAGGTGTCCAGATGCTTGAGAGGAGGCGGCTCTGGATGGGTCAGCTAACTGCCCGCATTCTTGGGTTTTCCCTGTGTGCCTCGCTAGAGCCGAACATGTATCTTTTCCCAGATGAATCCTCCTAGGACAGGTCAAGGTTAAAGATGACGTGTCAGGCTGGAGTTTGTGTTCACTGAGGCCTCACCGTAGCGCTGCCCTCAATTGTAATCATCGGGGTCAGAGTTTTGATGGGGCACCAGGGGGCAGAGTTGAAGGCCAGCGCGAAAGGCCCACTTGCTTTGCCTCCGTCCGGGTTATCAGCCGCAGCAGGACCTCAAAGCTTGGTGAGGCAACAGTTGGAGCTTTTCTGGGCCTCCTCCAAGTCATGACAATAAGTGAAGACTCAGCCAGCCACTGGTGAACTTGGCCTCACCACTTCCCTGGGAGCCCAAGACGAAAAGACACATATATCATCAGTGAGTCGCCTGGAGGAATCCTCAATCCTATCTTAGCGAGAACTGTTGAGGATTCTTTAGGTTTGTGCATTAGCCCACACCCTGTGACCTACTTCCTGTGAGTGACTCAGACCTTGGGCTGCTTGCTTGGGAATTGTACCCAAGCGGCTACCACCGACTGTGGCTTTGCCAAATAATTGGATGGCAGTTTTCATCCTCACTCAAACTGGCTACAGCTTCTACATGCCACTGTTGGGGGCGGGGGGGGGGGTATGCTCGGGTGTCATTTTTAATGGTTCTATAAAAATACCACCAAAGGTGGAAAGATGCATGCCTGCATAACCCTGTAATTAATGTATAAACTTCTATGTGCGACCCAACCCAATGAAAGCATTCTCTGTTAGGCCTTTTCATTGCATGATACTGCACAGTGTTTCTGAGCATGTTTATTATAAAGCAGATTCTCTGACAGAAAATAGAGGAAAGGAAGGACCTCCAAAATTGATGTAGTCTAACATCCCAAAAAAGGCAATGCTGTTAAATTACCTCCCCATAGCATATATTTTCATTACTTTCTCCTTCTTTGTATTCCAGCAGAGGTGCTATCGAGAAACTTCCATGCCAGGCTGACAACGACCTCAGTGATGAATCTGAAACTGAGACATGGACGTCAGAGCTTCATGGAATGAATACAAGCTGCCCTTGGCACCCCAAAAGCTCAGGGTAACTGAGACCGCTGCAGGCCCAACTGTTACAGATCTTTCCTGGCCCCTCAAGATGGCGGCCACAGTGGGCAAGTCTCTCCTTCTTCCCGGTAAGAGTGGAGTTCAAACTGAAGTCCCACAAGACTTCATTGTATAGCCAGATAAGAGTTTCAGTATTTATTCCTTTACCTTCCCTGGATGGAGATTTATTGCTCTGTGGAGAAATAGGACTTAAAAAAAAAAAAAAAAAAAAAAAGGCAGGCATTAAAACCCATCAGTGAAACCTGTCAACCCATCCAATGAAAGCTGTCTAATGACATGAAAGGCTGTTTAATGACCATTGTTTTAAATCTAAGAGTTTCCAGTGCTCCACTACTCAAAGGGTGGTCTGTAGGTCAGCAGCACTGACATCGCCCAAGAACTCGTGGGGGATCAGAATCTTGGGCTGTAGTCCCAGACCTACATTTTTGGGGTCTGCAGTTTTACCATTTCCCCAGGTGATTCCTGCACACATCAAAGCTGGGGAGGTGTGGCTCTGAGGAAGCCCGGCATAGGCAGGGATTTGGTAAAGAATACGCTATGATAACTTTCTACAGTCTTTGAGATCTGTTTTCCTTAGAGCTTTCTGAAAAGTCTAACTTTTCTACCTTGTTGCCTTGGCACAATTTTTTAAACTCTGGGTGTTTCTAGATAGCAGAAACCCACAAGAGGTGCGGCTCCCGTCCTCCAAGATAGAGCTTTCTTGGATGGTCACTCAGACCTCTCATCTCAAGTGCTGGGTTTGGGTCAAGTTTACAGTTTGAGGTTTGACACACAAGGTGCGGAGGCTCCCGTGTGCTCTGTCTCCCAAGCTGGTGACCACATGTATGTAAACAGAAGGCCTTTTTCCTCCAGGGGCACCAGACTCTCGGTTTTTACCTAGTTTGCATTTTGGAAACACATCAGTCCTGTGAGTTCTTCCAGACGCACACCACGTGTTCATGTGGTAGCGTTGCAGGTGGCCTCTGGGGTCCTGTCATGAGCCATCCTCCCTGCGGGATGCCTGCCTCCGCTCTCCAATGGTGACCTCGCACATGTCATAGCCTGTACTTTGTTCCAGAATGAGGGACCCGGCCTTAGACTGTCGCCACTTGGATCAGCCAAGGCAGAGTCCAGAGGACCCGTTTACACAGGAGTCTAGGAGTTTGGCTACCTCTTTCCAATGCATCTGGATCCTTTCAGGCCTGGCCTGGGCCAGGAATCTTGTTTGGAATAGTTTCTCTTTACAGAATGTTGGCTCTTTAGCTTCTGGTGCCATTTGAAACCAGGAGGGTAAAACTGGAAAACTTAAACAAACCCTCTTTGAATGTTAGAAATGTTTAGCATTCGAAGTTTGGTCAAACGATGGAAAACATTCCGAGCTGGTACTGAACTTTCCAGCCGGTTCCTCCAACCTTGAGGCTAATTTTAGCATGAGGTCCAGGGAGAGAAAGCTAAAGGAAATGAAGCAACTAAAATTACCCTGCATTGGAGAAGCGGGAATTTACATCGGTTAGATAGTGTAAAATTCAATAATCCAGCTTAGGTGCCAAATAATGAGCGTCCCTTCTGGGATCAAAGCACCTGGCTTTGGGGACTTTGGACCTTTATTGTAATTGCTACCCATTTTCCTGGAGGTAGGCAAATTAACAAACTTTCACAAGATTCCTTACCGACTGACGCATAATAGTGCCTTTTTCACCGGGGTGCTCTGAGGATCAGTAATTTTTGGACTATGCAAAGTGGTACTGAATGGCATTAAAAAGAGACCTGTGGCTGATGCTTCAAGATGGAAATATGTAGTATGTGAATTTTAATACTTGAACTCACCAGGTCTCACCAACACACGGCATCAGGTCCCTACATGAGAGGTCTGGGTAAGAGCAAGTAGAAAATACAGCCTCGGC